AACATTTATAATACTAAAACTAGCAAAGACGCACAATGTTGATCCATAATAAAAGATAGTCAAATCCTTATCTTCTTTTCTTTAAAATCTGATACCTTCTCTTCCCTATTATTTGTAAGGAAAATTTGATGTTGTTAAATTTTATTCACTAATAATAATAGTTTCTCTTTACACATCTTTCAAAGATTTTGAAAATTCAAGACTACTCAAAAAACGACTTTTAAAAGAGGAATAGAAATTACAGACAGGGAGAGGATATTTTGACTACAAGGTACACTGGGTTTAGGGGATGTTGTAGAAAGTAAAGGTTATTTTTGTTAAAAAAGATGGCTTCAGTTAAGAAGATGGTAATCAATTTGAAGCAATTAGTTTTTTTTTAAAATTTTTTGTTTCAAATCTCTAATTAATAATTTTTGGACATTTGGATGGATTAGAAGGAAAAAACCTAATTCCTAGTTAGTAATTTTTGATGCCATGTCATCTACTAGTGACATTGATGTCATCAAGATGACACGTCAACATGCCACATGGAAGATGACGTAGCATAAAAACTTGTTAATTGTACCGTTGACTATCTTCCATTAGTTAACGGTTAGTGTGAGGGGTTTATTTCACCTAAAATAAAATTTAAGGGCTTATTTGAATGTAATAAAAAGATATGAGCTAAATTAACTTTCTTAGTATAGTTTCGGAGCTTATTTGCATATTTAGCTTTTTTTTTCAATCATTATGTCTAAGTAAAACCATATGTATTTTCATTAATACAAAAAAAATCAAAAGTTAAATAGAAAGCTAATAAATCTTGAATAGTTTTCCATATCTTGTAATCAGTATTTACTAGTGTAAACATATTCAATTGCTAGCACTCTCAATATTTCAAATCCTGAATTATGGACTTTCCAAACGAAAAAAAAAACAATTGAAAATTAATATAAATAGAAAGCCAATAATTCTTGAATATTGTTTTCATATTTTTGAATCAATATTTATTATCATATAAACATACTAATTTGGTAAGACTTCTAGTAAAAATTTTCAAATCTTGAATTATGGACTTTCCAAACAATATCAAAAGACATTGAAAATTAATTTTCAAAATGAACCCTTTATATATATATATATATATATTTACATAAGTTTGAAGGGTTTCAGGTGTGCTTAAAGAAGAAATTACATTCATATAATGCAGCCGAATATAAACATACAAAACTGAAATCACCCTTACATCACTTATGTTGCCTTATTAATCGATTAAAAGCAAATAAAATCAAATATATGTTTAGCCATATACGTCAAGAAGTGATTTCCAAAAATCATATGTCAAAATCCCTCCACTTGATTATACACCAAAGCCTAATTGTCGTAAACCAAAGTTATCCATGTGTCTAGCCTCCGATGGTGATCCACACAGATGTCGTACTGTGATTTCCAAAACCTATGCTAGTTTGGGTAGGTTGGGATTATGTAGCACTGTCATGTTATGCTAGTAGTGAAGATTTTCTGAAAAATCTCACATTTCAAAGATTATTTGTTTTTGGCTTTAAAAGAAGACCAAAAAAAATTTTTTTTTAAAGAAAACGACGCCTGAGGTTTGGGTTTTTGTCTTTTATTTTTTTGTTGTCTTTCCTCACTTTTTTTCTTACAAAATGCAGTGCACATATAAAAGGTATTTATATTTAGGTAAAATGCTTATTCAACTTTTAGTTTATTGCATTTTAATCTTTCCATTTAATTAAATTCATATTGAAAATTCCTAATTTTCAATTAAATACCAATCCCATTTTAATTTTCAAATTATCATCTTATTGTGTGTGACCCATTAAGTCCTCAATATATTAGTAATAAATATAAATCAATTCAATTAAGAATTTATATTTATATTTCTAGATTATAAGTAGCATCTAACAATATATCATGACCACTTAAATGTCACGAGAGTCAATGTGGTTTGACTAACATTTTAGTGTACAGTATCTTAGTGTAATTCGATCTTTCATCATATATCTCGGATAGATAAAAACCTTAACTTGGTGTCTACGTTTTAACTTATCTGTATTAATACTCCAACTTCCATATTGGACTATCAAGATAACCTTGGCCAAGGACTGTCAATTAATATAAGTCAAAAGCAAATGAAATTTGTCTCCTTCAAATCACTTGGGGTGATGAATCCTTTTTGAACTACTCATTCATTTTCGTATGCTTCATGTTATACCTAAAAGCACCCTATTTAAGCATTTGGTCACGTATAGGTCGTAAGAGTGAAATCGAAGCATGATAATTCACATACATACACTACTGACTTGGTATTACAAGTCTAAGGATTACTTACACTACTGACACATGAGAGTATTTTCATAGACATTTGAGTGAAATACTAAATGAAACTCTCATATTGGGCCATGTTTAGTGAACTTGTTTCTTAACAAGCACCCACACTTTCTCTAAGTATCGTACATACTTCAACCTATGAGATTCGGTTGCTTACTTCCAAAGTAAAGAGGATTAATGTCATAAGCCAACCTTGTACAAGGCCATGACATGGTAGAATTCCCTAGGAGTTTAAGTCTTTTGTACTTCCAAGGGAGATGTCCCCTTTTCAAACATTGTAATGGCACTTGGTGATATTTGTAGAAATTTTTGTTAAGTCTTTAAGGGGAAGATCCTTTAGCAAAGAGATGTCTTCATCTCAAGCATTGTAATGGCTATTGGAAAAATACTTATAATATCTCGTAAACTCTGTAAACTCTTTAAAAAGGTGAACAGCTCGTGGATTGTCGAGCTGTCGCACTGATAAAGGTATGTTTGTAGTAAATCATTTAGGGCTGCCCCTATAACTCGACGATGGCATGTCTTGGTCTCTTTGTACTCATTTTCATATTAATAAAACATTTTTTTTATATGACTCGGTGGTTGCATTGTGTATATGGCATTCGGTATGACCTATGATTTCGATGTGCATTGTCTTAGTCTAATTTGTTGCTATTGGTAATATTTGATCAGATACAAATGATTTATTGGCTAACTTGAGTGGAAGCGTCCACTTAAGCGCCACACGAACTATCTCATATTTAAACGAAGGAACGTAGTTCGTGAAACTTAGCATGTATTAGTTTTTGAGCATTATCAATGTCTTTATTCTAGATAATACAATGACTAGGAACATATTCAGGAACATGACTTTAATGCATAAGAATCCTATAACTTTTATAATTTCTTTACAAAGGCCATTATATTTCTAAGACTTTATCTACATAATGACTCTTTATAAATAAACTCATGGATTAAAAAAACCCTCACATGTTATATAAAATATCTATAATGTATTTAATATGAAATATGACTAATTAATACAATGTTTTACAAACATAAAATTGATTGCCTTGCAGGACTTACACTAACAAAGTTATACTTAATTTTTTTTTATTTTTAAAATTAAGAGATTCGATTCTTACATTTTGATAAAGAAATCGTCCTTTAATTGTTGAATTAAATACTCTAATGCAAATTATACGTGAAGCCTTGCTAATATTTGGGGTAAACCTCTATCCACACAATTCAGGTAGTCTCATTTTTTAGTTCCTTTTTGTTTTCTTTTGTAATCTATCTTTCATAGTACGAACTACGAGTGCTCTGATTAATTAGTTTCAATTCGTACCTTTACTTACCCAGAAAGGGAAATGAAGCTAAACTTGATGTACTCACTGACTATTTCTTTCAACTTTTTCTTGTTAGATATTCTATCTCTATTTGTTTGGTAATTGCTTCATAAAAATTTACGGTTTTGTTTGGAATAAGGGTTAACTGGGTTGGTGATGGGAGGGGGGAGTTCGGCTTTGAGTGAAATTCATGGCGTTGGTTCTGGATAAGAATTCTCGGGGGGAGTAGTGTAGGGATGCTGGATTGTGTTATGTATGGTGAGTTGAGTTCTGCTGAGACTGTAAAGGGTGGCCTTGTTTTTTGTAAGAGGGATGGGTAAGGATATTTTGTATAGGCGTGGGGCTGAGGGTGATATATGTACAGAATATAGATTGATGGACAAACTAAGGCAGGGAGGGACAATTGTTTGTATTGAAAGGAAGGGGTAATGGGATGGCGTAGAGATCTTGACCTAGGCTTTGGCTGATTGCAGGTCATGATTCGATGAGGCGTAAAAGGATGAGCCTTAAGCTGCATGTCTGTGAATGATGCTGTTTTTCATTGAAAGCAACCCATGAGAAGCAATGTGTGTTGGGTTGTGCGTGCAGAACCGAGTACTGAGGTTTTCCGGGGAACAAAGAAATGGGATGTGATGATGGGAATTATCAGGGAGCAGTGTACAGGGGACAGATATGGAAGGTGGTAGGTTTGCGCGATGGGGTTCATTGATCCTCATTGTAATAGGTAGTGTTATTTGAGCAGGGTTCTTTTTTGTAGTGTGCCTATTTGGTTATGACTATGTGGATAGGCACTAAAGATCAGTAGGAAAAGTGGCAGGTTCCTCTATTTTTTGCTGTCACTAGCCACATGCTGTCAGGTGTTAGGAAAAGGAATATTTTGTAGATATCAACTGAGCCTCTGTTTTTGTACAGCTCATGTTGTTTTTGGATAAGGGTAGAGAGATAGCTCTGATAGATATTTTGCTCATTTAAGGATGAAAAACCGCCAATGGCTTATTGAGTGATGGTTTGTTGTGTAACTTGTACAGTTTTGATGATGCACGGACTAGTTTTGCTTTATGTAAACAACTAGCTCCATATAAAATTTCTTAGCATATTAGTTCTAATGCTAATAAAATTAGAACTACTTTGTTCTTTATGGTTACATAATTGAACAAGAACAAGGGAATGAAGATTCATATTTCATGCCATAAAACTTGGCTTTCTCCAAACAAAAGAAAAGCTAAAAGCACAAGTTTGATAAAAGATTATCCCCTTTATCAGTATCTGGCAGGCTATCCAGATTAAACTTTTACCTTTTGATTAACAAGTTAGACAAAGATGATGTCCCTAATCAAACTTTCACAAAGCATTTTCGATTGCAGCCATCTGGTCATTCCATGCCTCAATGATCAATTCCTCAATTATAGCAACCATTTGTTCTTGTTCTTTCTTCCACAACTTGTCAAATTGGCCGTCAAATTTTAGTCGAATCTCTTCATCACCTACATCATGGGAAAATCCAATCTGATCAATTCTAGGCACAACAACTGAATAAAAACAAAGGGAGAGTTCAAGTTTTATAAAGAACAAGAACAAAGAAAAGGACTAATTACCTTGAAGCAAGGTCTGCATATCAATCTCAGGTGCCACATTAAAGAAATGAAAGGCAAAGTTATACAATAAATTGTCTTTAGATTCTCCAAGGCTTCTAATCCCAATCTCTTCAGTATATTTTTGAATAGCCTCCAGATACTGCATCTGCGTCATAATGGGAAGGTAAGTAAAATTGAGATGCACAAGAGGATTGTCAGTAACATCTTCAAGGTCATCCAGGAAACTGTCAACAAAATTTCCATTGATCTTGATCTCATGGATGCATTTCTGAATACCCTCTAGATATTCCAATCTCTCCTTGAAACTGATCCGATCGCTATAACGCTCTCCTTCTTGTAGCAGAACTTGATAATATTCCAGGCTTTTACTCATTTTGTTTGTCAACAAAATCACCTGGTGAATATTGGAAGGAGACCAATTTGCTTCCAATAAATTTCCGATGAGATAGTTTGGGACATAAGGCATGAAAAACAATGTTGGCCTCTCAACCCGTCGCTCGCAATCCTCGTCCACTGTTAAAACAGTGCATCCTAATTTTTTTAAGACAATAATATCCGTCGGAGATAGCACTGGATCAAACACTTCTATAGAAGTTATCCAGTTAAAGAAGTCTTGCTGTAATAAAAGTGCAATTGCCAATTGATATTTTGAAGATTTGCCTTCTTCCAAGCTACCTAAAGCGTAAATCACCATGGGGACATCATGTGAATGAGAGTCTAGGACACGGGTTAATTGGCTTTGGAATTCCTCACTTTTAATCTGCTTGTGTAGTTCAGAGTAAAATTCGGATTCTTGAACTTCTCTTGATATCGTCTCCATCTCTTGCAGTATTTTCTTTGACTCCTCTTCCACATCGTGAGCAGAATCAGAACTTTCCTCCACATCAGTTGTTGATTCCGTGTCGGAATTACAACTTTTTTCCGAATTATCTGTTGATTCCTCTGAATTAGCCATTGATTCCTTCACTACTAGACTATTTTTCAAATATTTCCTCATCACAGAACTTGCCCGAACCATTCTCTCTAAATCTTTATTCTATTCTATAATCCCATATGTTCCTTTTATATGATATAATAATCTTATCCTAATTACGTGCTATCGTAACCTAGTTAGAATTAAAGACTTGCTCCACAAAATATGCTGGTTTAACTAGAATTAAATTATCCTTTCAAACTACAATACAGGACGTGTTTGGTATGCTAGGTTTTTTTTATTTTCATGTTTGGGGTTCGTTTGGGTATATGTTAAGGAATTAGGATAGTTGAACATTGATGTTTGTACAGTCAACCATGAACTAATTTGGGAGGTTAGTCTTTTGTTCTCGCTGTCTTTTGCTTGTTGAGTAGCTTGTTATGGTACTGTACAGTGTTCTAAATTGCCAAAGCTAGAATTTTTATGCTACTAAAAGTCTTTTAACTCATTAATTTAAAGATTTTGAAAGAGCATACTAGCTGGAGGGCAATCAAAAAACCAACCACTTTTCAAAAAAAAAAATACCCCAATACAGGAGTATCATGACAGGGTTGGACTGCACAAATTAGGATTGAGGATAAAATAAATTCAAGACATAATCTGACATACTTCGTATTAAAATACAACATACATACTTTGGGCTAGACTCCCTAAGTGGCAATGATATACATCAAAATAGTAAAATATAATCTAAAACATCTTTGGTTTTAAACTCATTGATCAGTTCTTTTACAAAATCTCATCTGTGAACTGCTTTGAATGCAAAAGAAAGAAAACATCTTCGGCTGAAGAAGCCACTTCCTAAGTAGTATCGAGACACAAATATTACGGATAGTGCTTTAGGCAAACAAGACTTAAATAGAAGTCATATAAACAAAAATGCAGAACAAAGATCCTTTAACCTCAATACTAAAACAAAAGCCATCATTCGTCTATAATACAAACATTGTTTCATAATGGGCAAAGATGCAACAAGTTGTTGAATTTTCTTGCCTCTTTTTTTCCCTATAGGTATCCACTTTGCAGAGGAATTCCATATATAAAAATCGAAAAGCACAGGTTTGATCAATAGTTAACTATATTTCAGATTACCATTATAGAGAATATAAATTATCAAAACTTGAAGGGAAAACTATAAGAGAATGATATGTTTGGGCAAATTAATACTTTTATTGCGGAAAATAAAGAACTAGAATATTTACAATCTCTCTCTCAACGAATCTGGCACTCTGCTGTACCAACAAAATATTATCTAAAAGTCAAAGTTAACACGAATCTATATTTTGAACTTCTTGGTGTGTTGGGCAAAATTTGCATCCATTCCAAACTCAGCAAGATCCCTCTTCGGTGGAACGACGTGAAACATTTGATTTTGTGGCATAAATTCAGGATACAAACCACTCCAGTAGAGATCATAGGCAGAGTAGTATGCAGGCATCGTGTAGCTGTCAACTCCAACATCCTGGGAGATTTTCCAGTTCAAGTGATTAGGCAGCTTAGAGACCTTCCTTTTATGTTTTTCTTGCTCTTCTTTTCTCGCAAGCAATTGGTGCTTCCTTTTGATGTTGGCTTGTTCACTTTCTCTGAGGTCGATTGTGAGGGAAAAGTGATCTTTGTCTTCCTCGCTTCTGAAGTTTCATATTATTCCTTACCAAGTAATGGCTGCCGGGGTAAGCTTTGGATGCAGCAGATGCAACATCCTGAACTTGAAAACTGGTCCCAGAATTTTCAGAACTTGGATTTCCAGAGTGATATACAATCTGATTAATAGCATCTTTAAGAGTCTTATTAGGCAAAGGATCATCAGCCACTATTTTCCTTTGGCAAACACAAACAGACTTGGAAACAAAGTGATCCCTTGTACAGTTATCGCAAAAGCTAATAAAACAACACCTTGTTAAAGCAGCCTGTGTCATTACTTTCTTGCACAATGGACAGCAAAGTTCAGGACTTCAGGCGGTATATTATCACCAAAAGAACTACTGGAAGTTGAGCCACAAGTCTTTGAAATTCCAGTTGTAAGCTCAACCCTTTTGAAAATCAAAATTAGGATCATCATTAGTAGGGCAATACTGAATATAATGTCCATCCACCTAACACCCATGGCAAACATAGCCCTCTGGTGGAATTCGGCTCTTTCCAAAGCTCTTAGCAGGAAAAAATTTGAATCCATCATTATCTTTGTGTTCTTTGCAATGGGTATTGCTTGGATTCACTAATATGGTTTTCTGAATGGAATCAAAGTCAGGTCCAAAATCATGGCAATCAAAGCCTTCTTCTTCTTGAGCATCTTCGACAATAGATGATGGGCTCTCTTCAATCCCGGATTTTTCTCCCCAGTAACAATGGGAAATCAAGGCATTCCAGGAACGTGGCGAATCAAAACGGAAGAGTTTGCGGGGATCAAGAAGGAGTCATCAGCATTTTCTTCATTGGTTCGAGGCATCGCTGATTAACAAATCAAAATCTTTATCATTGCCATATCTTTTGGAATCAAACCGCAATCGAAAACTGAAATAAAAGGAGCATCAATGGAACTAGAGTGGAAATCTTTGGAGCTTTTGAATTTGTAATACACAACAGCCATGAATAATTGCTTAGATCTTCTTCAAAGAGAGGGTAAGGGTTAAGGGGTTTGGAGTTTTTAATATTCGGGAGGAAGAGAAGTAAATGGCGGGGTTTATTTTGGCTTCAAAACGACGCATAAGCGGTGGAAACCTTTGTCCGTATTTTCTTTTTTTTTTCTTTATTTAATTCAGTTTTCAATTTACCATGTTAATTATTTATTTTTTCTATTCTATTTCTCATTTACCGTTTCAGCTGCAGAGTATATTTATTTTTATTTTTTATAATTTTTAGAAATATTATCATATGTAATAGCCATCTCATTATCAAATAATTAAAGTTAAATTATGTAATTAGTTTTTATACTTTATAAAATATAAATTTAATCTCTAAATAATAATTTGTGTAAATTTAATTTTTGTATTTTTTTCAATTTGTTAATTTTACTCCTTAACTTTAAAATATGAGACATTTTGATTAAATTGAAGTGACATTTTTTGTTAATATGATATTAATTATTTGATAACATAGCATGATCATACATGTAACGAAAAATATTGACGTGGCAAAAAATGTTAAGGTGATAGTTGTTGATGTGACAAAAGCTATGGACAAAACTTTCAAATTTTAACTCAAAACATCATAATCCTAAATTAACAAAAAAAAATCAAAAAAAATTAAAATAATATAAATTAACAAAAACAATTAAGAGAGAAAGAATGCATTTAAGGGTTAATGGGCTTTCTTTTTTAAGATTTAGCTGGTTTGGAAAAATTCAAGTTTGCTTTTGAATCAGCATTTGTCCTTTGAAGATTCGATTGGTTAGTAAAAAGATCTTGCTTCTTTTTTTTTTTTTTGAAAGGTGATATTTTTATTAAACCAGCTATCGAACTCTTGATGGCAAGATAGTTGCCCTGGCTGTAAGAAAGTATAAAAAAGAACCTGTGAGAGATGCCCACTTTAAGAATGGCAGCACAAAACCAAGACAAAGAGAGACAGCCCTAAAACCAAAGAAAATTGTCATAGACGAGAGACAGCCTCAAAACAAAACTCCACAACACGCGAATCCACTGAAACCAGAGCAGCAACAAGTGAAGGAAACAAAACGAAAAATCCGTAGTATTGGAAGAAACTGGTGGCTCCTTTTGCAAAATCCCAAGACATTGCATTGCAACAAACCTTACTTTAAAAAAAAAAAATCACAACAGGGCACCAGCGTCATGATCCCAATCACTATAGCACCATTTTTGGATAGTTCAAACTTTCCCGCGAGGATACTGTGCTATATGTAACTATAAGCAGTTGTCATATATGGCTGAGGAATTAGTTATCTGCTTACAGTTCGATATAGAACAGTATCCTGTGGTAAGGTTTGAACTATCCATAGATGGTCCTGAGTACCGATAAAGTCCACTAATGAAACTATGATAACAACCAAAATCTTCATTGTCATGTTTGATGTTATAACAGAAGATTATATGAAATGGTTCATTCATAATCCAATGAACTATAATAGTTAATACTATTCACCTTCTTTTCATGTCTCAATATTTTCTTTTTTAAACAATAAAAATAAGTAGATAACCATCCAATTTTGCAAGACTCAATAAATGAATCTCATATGAAATAAAAAAAATGTGAATTAAAATAATTGAATACAAAAAAGCTAAGAAAGAAAGTGGATTTTTCATATAGACAGCACCAAGATTTTGCTATACATTTGGAAGGTTCGAGGGAAAGATAGACTGGCCAGGCACTCTCAGGAATTTAAACAAATAAAACTAGTTTTAGAAGAAATTCAAAATGAAGATAAGCAATAGTGCAACAGCCATGAAAGAGTCCAAAAACAAGACTTTATGAACAAAGCTTGGAGGGCATTCCAACGAGGAAAAAGGAAGGGTATAGATTATTAGGAGTATGCTATTAGCTGCCAGGACTATCTCAATTTGCTGCTAAATCCGAGTTGAAAATTGTTAGCAGAAATTTCATTGTCAAAACTTAATTGATAATTTTACATCTAATCAAACCAGAAGTACAAAAAAATTAATAAAAACTACCCAAAATATACAAAAACGAACTTTGAAAAATTGTCATATAATTTCAAAAAAGTTGGATCGAGATATCTATTAAATAGCCTTTTGCACATGAAGAATATT